ATCTCTTTGAAGATGGCAGAACTGCTCAGGTATCTCAGCAGCATGATATAAATGGTGTTGAGTTTGCAGAAGACACGTAGTGGGTTTTGCTATTGCATTTTAGTAGTTTTGTCTGTAAAATTGGTACTTTGTCACAGGTCTAAGATGAATTATTTCAGCTTCACTCTGAATACTCTAGGCAACTGTTTTCTCCCATTTTCAAGTGCCTCTAACTTGGCCTCTGCCCTCTTTGCTGTTCTAGCTGTTATATTTTGAGGTAATTGCCATGTTCTGTTAGAAATAACCCAGGCCGAAACAAATTTATCTTTTAGTTGAATTCTAAAGTGTTGCACGATTTTTGTAGTGTGGATTGGTAGCAAAACCTTAATTGAATTTCCTTTCTTGTGGTCTTGTGTCTGAAGATCTTGGCTACACAGCTCTGTTTCTCTGAGGTGGATTGGCAGGTAGTGCTCTTAGTTTCCATAAGGTTCAGTAAATAAATTTTAATGCAGATTTTATGGAATATTTATTAAATCCATCAGCATGTTTCACTGCATCAAAGACACTTTATTTAGATGAATAGGCATGTTTAAATCCCACATGCTTGCGAAGTGCATGACTGCCTGTCAAAGAACTGAGTTGTGTTTTAAAACAAAATTGATCTATTAAGTTTTCATTGGTTGTCAGTGTGTAATTGATTGGCTTCTGAAGGTGAGCAGAAGGGGACAGCCTGTGGCTGCTTCCCTGGGCATTCACATTTGTTGGAAATACCTGAAAAAGCGGGGAGATGCACCTGTGTGAAACACAACAATGTCATTTTCTACCATAAAAAGTCAGAGGGAAATGAATTGCTCTGTAAGATTTTCATTCTGGCTCTTCCACTTGCAAATTGACTCATTAAGTGCAGAGCTTTGCCTGGGGAAGGGAAGCCTTGCCCTGCTGCAGTTCTTATGTCAGCAGGTTCAAGAGTCAGCGAAGTTTGGCGGCTTCAGAAATAAAGGTAATTTATGCATTACACCAGTCCCTGAAGGTGATAGAGGCTGGGCTGTTTACAGCCTTGTAAAGGAGACAAAGGCTCTGTATTAACACTCTCTCAGTACATTTTAATATGTCCTATTAAAATACTCTATATATTCTCCAGAGCTGCAGCACTCTCCAAGGTTTCCTAACATGTCTGCACTGACCAAAAAATTCAAACTTCTTTGATTTAAGGAATTAGATTAATGGCATAAAGGTGTCCCATCATCCCTGTCCATCCATCTGTGTCCCCCCTCTAATTTTTTAACATGTTTTGTTGTGAGAATTAATTTCAGCACCCTTTTTAAAAATTATTTTTCTACCTGGGAGATGCAGAAGGTTTCAGGGTGAACTGAATCTTTATCCTCTGGAATGTTTTTTTTAAACTTGAAGTATTTTTTCCAAGTAATGGTCATTTGTATTATCTGTAAAGTAAACCAGAAATGAACATTAAAATTAAATTAGTTTGCTTTCTGATGATCTGTTTGTTAATGTGTTCTTTGCATAAGATTTGCTAAAGTCTGAGTAAAAATGTTGCCTTTTTAATGTACGGCTCAACCACAGGTGGAGAAGTTCTTTACTAAATACTGATTAGCTTGGTTTTCAAGGAATATTTGATTTTTCTGACCTTTGATGTCATTCTGATTTAATGTTACTTGAATTAAAATGTCATCTTTTTTTATAGTACCTAAAATAGACTTTATTAGTTTTCCTGAAAGCTATGTGCAGCTTTTCTTTGGCCCATTTAAATATTGAAAACAGCAGGATTTGAGATTTTTTCCTTCTAATCCTCAACTAATAGAGTTTAATGCTTTGTTTGGCCTACCTTGCACAGCCTAAGCAAAAGTTTTAAACAAGATTAAAAATATGACCTTATTAACCCATGACATCTAAAGATACAGAACAGGCCTGCAGAGACATCAGTCATTCCTTGGCCAGGAGAGCATTGGTGCCATTCCCAAACTACGCAGGAGGTTCCAGAGGAAAACATTTTGGCAGCCCAGCTTTCTTTTTTTTTTTTTTTGTGGTTTTGTGCCAGCACCTGGGAATAAGAAATTAAAAAGGAAAGATTCTAAGTTGAATATTCAGTCTTTGTGGTTATGGCAAATAAAAGTTGGAGTACTTGTGGAAATTTGAGGTGCAACCTGGCTGGGTTTATAAAAATAAGGACACTTTGGCAGTGCAATGGGATGTTGCTTTTGTGTGCTTCACCTCATAAACCCCTACGTAAAATGAATGACACCTTTTGGAGATTTTTGAGTTTTTTTATGAGAAGATAGTTGTTTGTAAGCTGCTGTTGGATGGGTGATTGATGAACATACTGAGTTCCAGAAGAATAAAGTGTCTCATTGTCATGGAAAGTTTATGTCTAGTAAACATTACAAAACACAGTGATACATTCACTGCTGTGTAATGGGATTCCTTGTTTACTGGGCAGGCTATAGGGCCATGGCAACAACACCAGAAATAGGAACTATGAGTATCCTTGTTGTAAAGATGATGATGGTTATCAAGCACTTTGTTAATTGCTGCAGGTTAACGTTTCTCCGTATTCATTATCACTTTGTAGTGAGAGGATCAGCCAAGAGGTGTAAATGTGGAAGTTTGACTGAAATCTTTAATTAAAATAATGAGGTTTATTGTATGGCATGGAAGAGTCAGGTCAATGTGCACCTCATTGATGCTTTGAGACAATTAATAGCAAGTGTTCCAGGGAAGAGAGAATAACAACAGTGCAAACTCCCTAAACTTCTATGTTTCTAGTGATACTCCAAACCAAAGCAAAATGAGTGCTAATTCCTTAAAAATACTGGTGTCTTGCTTGGCTTTCATCATATCAGTTGCCCTTTTGATCTAAACAAGGCAAAATCTGCATACATGTTCATTAAGTTCAAGATCCAGCTGAAATTTGGCAGCAGAATAAAAGCCAGACAAATTGCTTACACTGTCATTGATAAATGCTTCCTGCTTTCATACCATTATTTACATTTTTTAATAATTAAATATTTTTAAAAACTGAAAGTGAATGCTGGCTTTGCAACCATATGTGCACTGCTGAAAAACAGAGTATTACACCCTGCCTCTTGGTTGTGGAATGGAGAGTTTGGCAGGACCTGGGGCAGTAGAAAGCATTGATGTTAGGAAGAGGGTGGAAAAACCCTTAGTTTTTTACCCTCTAACCCTGATTTATTTTCCTTAATTTGGTGTGTTTGTATTTTCTTGGCTCACTACCTTGTTCTCATCAGCAGTGCCAAATCTCTGTAGCAAAAAACCTGTTAATTTTCAGGAATAAGGTGGTCTGTAGGTAGGTAAAGAAGTGTAGGAAAACATCAGATTTTCATCTGATGATCATTCCATTCTCTCTCTGCATCAAACTTCACTGACCTTCCTGTCCCTGCCCCAAACTTCTGAGGACCTGTGGTCAGTGCAGAGCTGATGTTTTGGGATAACCACCTTTGTGTTTGCTGCGGGATGCCCAAGCAGATCCTCCACACCTCTGGCTAACAGGCAGAATAACTGGGGCTGGCATGGTGGTGTTGTCCTTGACACTGTCTTTTATAAAAGTTGCATTAATTTTTCATTTGATAGCCAAAATTCCCACCACTCCTGGGTGTCTGTGTCTGCCTTGTTATTGAAGCAGTCCTTTTTTTTTTTTTTTTTTTTTTTTCTGCTGCTCTTCTGCATTCTTCATTGGTGACTGTGCTTTCAGTTTCATTTTGGTTTTTGACTGTGAGTAATTATAGAAAGGAAAAAGTGATAAAAAGCTTTTGCAATGTGCTTACTGAATTAACTCCATAAAATGAGGTTTTCTAGCTGGAGTCTGTAAGCTGAAACTGTGAGTTATTATCTTTAAAAGGATAAAAAAAGGAAATGCTGTTGATACTTCATAGTCGCTGGGACACTGTACTGGAAAATGTTAGTTTTCAAAATGAAAAAAAAATTAAATGTTGATATAAATATTCCATAATCAAAGAGTCCTGTAAAAGCAGTTCAAAGAATATTAAAAGGTCACTTAGACAGTTGAGCTGGCTTTTTTTAGTAATTACATGGCTAACTTGGTTTCCCTCAAAGAAGTGATTTTATGCTGTTTACAGCAAGAATTAGTAATGTGAAAAATTTTATCACAGTGCTTTTGCAATTAAGTTACAGTTTACAGGCTCAGTGCTAGTAGTACTTTTAGGGTGCTAATTCCTGGTTATACCAAATATTTGATCATGCATTTTGTTTGATTGCACTATTTAGCATAGAAATGAACTGTTGTCAGATTTGACACAAAATGCAGTACAAAGGAGCAGAGGCAATGGTTTGCACTGTCCTGCTCCAGCCTGCTGGGCTCGTGACTGCAGTTAATCCCAAATGATAGTGCTCATTCCAAGTGGTTTTCTAGTCTCCTCCTCTGCTTCTAGCCAAGGATAATTTTGTATACTTGGATTAACCCTTCACTGTTATGTTTCACATCCAGACTGTTTGAATGTCTTGTGTCAGGTTGAGTGCTCTGCTCTGCTATGGTTTGTTCTGCTAAGGCATCATTTTTGTTCTTTAATTGTTTTGTGCTTTGAGGTTCTTTGGTCTCCTTTCATTTGCTTCTACTTCTAGTAACTGACCTTTTTTTCCTTTCTGTTTGTTTCCAGTGTATACTTTCCTAAAGAACTTTCACGTATGTCTAGTAATTTGCATTCAGATGAATCAAAATCTGTTTGATTCTGCAGAATGTCTTAGTCCCAGTCTAAGGCTGTAGTAAGTTTTTATTAAAGCATAATTAGACACTGATTTTTGGATGCAAATAGATGCTACTGCTTAAAATAGATACAAATAGATGTTAGTGCTTAAGTAGAAAGGTTTTGAGATATTTAAATGAGCCTATCTACAGAAGTCCTCAGTGACTGAAAGCAGTTTAGGCAATACAGCTTTAATAGAATATTTTTCAAGTTCATGTTCTGTTTTAAAAAGGTATTCTGCTTTTGTGGCTTATAAATTTAATTATGTGTCTTTTTTTATTACAGGGAGAAGAAAATGAAAATTCAGGATATTAAAAACAATATTAAAGAAGCTATAGAGGTAAATTTATGAGCTATTGTTTTTTAACTATTCCAGGTGGCTATTTAGACACTCTCTGCAATATTTTACTTGTGTTTCTTTGCAGACAATAGTGACAGCAATGGGCAATTTGGCACCTCCAGTGGAACTAGCCAATCCAGAGAACCAGTTTCGAATCGACTACATCTTAAATTTAGCAAACCAGATAGACTTCGATTTCCCTCCGGTGAGTAATTCACAGTGGCTGCAGCCATGCCTTTTTGCAAATGATTGTATTTCACTGCCCTGTAGTAAATATTTCCCCAAAACAGTGAGCTGCTCTCTCAGGGAATTATTGCAGTAGGTGCCTTTGATGAGTGCTAATCGAATTTACAGCAACACAGCCAGAATATTCCAGCTGATCCTTCAGGAACATGAGGAACATGGAGACTCTTGTCTGCTTTTTGTACTCTGGTGAACTAATGAGCCACAGAGTCAAGGTGGACAGTGCTGGGTGTAAAGTTTGGATATTGTTGAGTATTTCCCTGCCCAAAAGGAGTAGAGATACACACTGCACTCTCTTGAGGATGATTAACTGGTGTTTACTGATGCTGATTTCTCTCTTGTGGAAGAGCAGTGGAGTTTTCTTGCTGATTCAGATTCTGTGTCAGCCAGGCTCTCTGCAGAGGCTCCACACACACGTCCTTGTCCCAGCCCTCCCAGTCCTGGTTAATCATTTGAGGTGCCAGCAGTCCCAGAGTAAATGCATAAAGGATAATTATTTAGTGGATGATACAACTTTGTGCCCACTCACAGTGATTAATTTTTCCTGTATCTCAACCACACTTGTAGCAGAAGCCCATGAAAATACAGTTTGCAAATTCTGAACACTTAAACACTGAGAAGATATTTTTGTTAATTGCCATGAAGTACCTTCTACTTGCAGTAATGCAGGAGTGTTTCAAAACTTGTATTTCTCTCTCTATGCACTGTTCCAAGGGGCTGAGGGGTGTAATTATGATGATGTGTCAAAAATCATGATCCATTTACACCAGAATTTTGTGTCCAGCAGTCCCAAATGCTTGAAATGAAAGTGCAAGGTTGAGTAGTAGTAAGATGTGGGATAGTTTGCACCATAGCAATTCTTAATTCAGTTTGTAATTCTTGATATGTGAGACCAACAACAGTTACCTTTTCCAAATGTTGCTGCTTCTAAGAATTTCTCTGCTTTGGTCAGTCTTTACCAAAAGAAAAATAACCAACCAAACAAACCCACATGCTTTGTGTACAAGGCAGAAGTCAGGTGCCTTTAGCAGTTAATTGGAAATACTGCTCTGTGATCTTCAAATCATTTCCAATGTAACAAGCACAGACAGGTTGGTGGAGGGGGATGTATGATTCTCTCTAACACATAAAATGTAGTCATTGCCATTTTGTCTTAAAGCATCTTAAATTTGAGATTTTGAGATTTTTAACTTCACACCTCTGTAATTTAGACATTTGTCAGTGTTATTCACAGAAATACTCAATCACTTCATAGATGATCTCTACTGCTGGGAGCAGAGAAAAATTCATGCTTTGAAGGTAGTTTTAGGAGAATATTTGAGAGAGAAGACTGTGATTCCTTGCTCCACCCTCTGTGCTTCTGCACTGGCTGTGTGCCCACAGCTCTCCTGCTGCCATTGTTTGTGCTAGTTCAGGTTGTGATCTGTAACAATGCTGCAACAAGTTCCTGTGACCTACCTCATACTGAAATACTGGATTTTCCTTGTCTCTTCTATCTCAGGGGTATTTTTTTTCCTTCCATTCAGTTGGAGTGCAGTGATTTTTCTTTTTTTTCATTGAAAGCAAGGTGTAATTGTGTGACTTACAAGGTCTATAAATAATTCCAAGTTCAGTGACAAGTATTTGAGGTGTTGATTGACACACAACTTCAAGAATAACAGTCCAATAAAACTAGTTTTTCTTCTCTGAGTAAAGGTATTGTCTTAAATTTTTAAGCCCTGAGTCTACAGAGGTTTAGGTGTGTGCATAACTTTGACTGGTGGCTTACTTCATTGGCATGATTAACTATTTCTTATGTAAATGTTTGTAGGGTTGAAGTTTTAAACTGGATATGCATTGGCAACAGATGTTGAAGGACTGTTGTTGTCTCTCTCTGCTCTCAGTGATTATATAAGTTAATATGTATCTCTGATTTCTGAGTTTGTCTGAAAGTAGATTGTAATCCTGTGGTACCTGGAAAACTGAACCTGCATTTTAACTGCATGATTTAAATCAAGTTGAGATCTAGAGTGTCCCTAGATGCTAGCTCTCAGTGCATAGAAATCACAATCCTTGAGTGCCACTGCAAAAGTAGTTTTCATTTTGTTACACATTAGTTAAAAGTACTTTGAAGAAAAAAATAGTTTTATGGATGCAGAAAGGACAGCCCTATGCTGGTTTTGCTTTAAATCTAAGGAGATCTCCATCATCTGTTTCCTCCTCTAGTACACTGGGGGAAGAATTTCATAAACCTTTTCCTATATAGAGTATTGATTGGGAAGGAGGGAGGGGAATTTTTAGCAATGTCAGCCCTGTGTAAAGCTGTCTGGTTTGAGCTGCAGAACTTGCTTTCTGTCTCTTGCCTTTTCTTCATGGGAAATCACATTTCAGCTGTCTTGAGCACATACTTTCCTCAGTGTAATATTTGATGCTCTTCTCTGCAGTAGGAAGAGCATGAGGGTAGGGAGGAGGAATACTCATGTCCCCAGGGGATATTCTTTGAGGGCTGCAAATACTTAGGACTCTACTCTTAAATACATGGCTGTTCTGCTTCCCTTTAAATGCCTATTCTTCTTTTCCTAAACATTAATTTGGGTTGCTCTCCTGAAGAGAATGCACTGACATCGAGGCCAGCACAAGGATTGTGGGACTTCTTCTCCAGCTTCACAAGATCATCATCTTCATGAAGGAGCAGTTGAAATGAATTTTAAAGAAGAGGCCAAAATCTGTGGTTATAATTATCTGTGGAACAGGTGGAGCTAGAATGCAAGTTTCCTAACAGCAAGGTTCAGTGTAATGTGAAAGGCAGAAGAAAGTCAGGAAGAATGTAGGAGTTTTGCAGTGTGATGCTAATATTGGGATCTGGCTCTACATGCAAATTAGGATTCAAAGAGCAACTTTTTTATGCTGATATTCTAATTCTTTTCTTAGTCTGGGTCTCCATCTGTTTGCTTTGCAGTTTTTGACTTACAGGAAGTGTGTGTCATTTGTGTAGACCATATTGTTTTGAATTAAAAAAACCTAAAAAACAACAGCTTGGGTTAAAAATAATGTTGGTACTGTGTAATGCTAGGTTAAACATCCCCTTTAAAGCTGAAAATTTACTATGTTGGAGATTATTAATTCAGCACAGTTGGTATTAAGAAATTAAATTTTTGAATACGAGTAGTAGCATATGGAGAAAGGCAAAACATAGTACTGACTGGAAAGAATTCTGTCCACATAATCATGCTGGTATTTTAAAATATTGCAATTTTTAGTAGATAATATCTATAGTTGAGGCTTCCAAATGGTATTTCCATCATTATTGCTCTTTGATGCATTTAGCTTAACACAACTGTATGTGTGTGTTTTCAGTGTCAAAAATCAACCTTGTAGTTTCAATAATTCAAACTAGCTGTATATCTGTCTCAAATGTCAGGTGATGTTGGGTTAACTGGGTTATAAAAGTGATATTTTTGTTCCTGTTCTGCATACCAGACTGTGGTTAGGATATTTTCTTCATCCCCACTAATAGTGGCCTTCTCTCATCCCTTTCTTTTTGCTCTTTCTTTTAGAAGAAGGAAGGAAATGTTACGGTTTTATCAACGTTTCACACTCCATGATCAACCCAATTGAACCAAGCTACCAAATAAAACATATTTACTTTAGCTCACAGTCCATTTATAATACTCTGGTTTTAATGAAATATTCAAAATAGGAATGTGTTCCTTACTAGCAGGATTTACAGCTGCCTATTTTTAATTGATCTGGTTTGAGCTGAGGAAGATGTCTCTTGAAAATACCATACTAAATTCAGAAAAATTGTATTTAGAAAGTAGTAGAATCAGTATTAGCTATTGAAAGGCAAAATACCAGAGGAATGATTGCAGCCTATGGCTCTCTAGGTTGTGAATATTCAGAGGAGATGCTGATGTTGTCTGCAGGTCTCTTGGTTTCAGTTTAAGTTTTATTACACTGCTCCATTGTAGTTATTTTGAATCTCCCACTGCCACTGCTGCTGAATGGTTTTATTATGGTTTTTGAGTGGTGTCCTTGAGCTTTACCACACTCTTGCTTCAGCCTCAAAGGCAGCTCAGCATCCCCTCTGCCCACAGCCACCCCTTCCCTCCGCTGCACACCGGGATGTGCCAAAAAAACCTCCTCTGGTCCCCAGTGTCAATCAGAGCATTGAACCAGCCCAGGTTAAAAATAACCCTGGTAACCCTTCCTCCTTCTCTCTTCTATTTTGGACAGATTATTTTTAACAGGGATCAGTTTTGAGGTGTGATTTACAACCTGGCAGTGTGGTACAAAGTGTGATCCCTTAACCTGCAGCAGGGTCAGAATGGGGCTTTGGAGTCCTTAAAATGGTTTGGACACCAAAATCTTCAGGATGGTAATGAGATAATGGAGTCTCAGTAAGAAAAGATGTGAGCTGGGATCTCTTTGCTGCCGGAAGTGTTCCTTAATTATGTAGGCAACAGAACAAAATTGTCTGTTCCTGTAGATAACCACCCTGATGGGTATAATGATAGATACTTTATTATTCCTGTCTAAATACATCGTGGCAGAAGAAGAGAGCTGTTCTGGTTTGACAGCATCACTAGCTTTATAAAGTAATGACAAACATATTCACTGCAGTGGGAGATATTTCCCATGGGGACATCTCAAATGTCACAGATTTTGGGGTGTGAAAGTAGGCAAAACATTTTCTTTGGTGAGGATACCCTGGGAAGCTGGGAAAGGTGGGGGACAGAGCCTGATTTCTTGGGTGACTGCACAAAATTGTGTGCAGTTTGGATACTTACCACAGAGAGAAAATAAGAGGCTCCAGCTTTTTCTTGTCCAGATTTTTTATTATTTTGAGCAAGGCACCTCAATGTCCTATTTACCTTTTTTTAGTATCCTGTGTCTTATTATGTGTAAAAGTGTGATAAATACATATCTTCGAGGTGCATCTTGAATCGAAAAACTAGTAGGAAATGTGGATAGGTGAAGTAT